AAGTTTTTCTCCCACTCCCCTTCTCCCCTCCTTTTCCTCTCCCACCTTTCCTTCTTCCACCACCCCCATGCTCCCAATTTTGTCAGGCGATCGTGTTTATTTCAGCTTTCCAGGTGGATCTATATATGTTTTTCTTAGGGTTCACCTTGATACTTAGCTTCTGTAGAATCATGAACTATAAGCTCAATATCCTTTGTTTATAGCTAGTATCCACTTATGTGTGAGTACATACCATATTCATCTTTTTGGTCTGGGTTACCTCACTCAGGATGGTGTTTTCTAGTTCCATACGTTTGTATGCAAATTTCAAGATGTCAAGTAGTACTCTAATGTGTAAATGTGCCACATTTTCTTTATCTATTCTTTGGTTGAGGGGCATCTAGGTTGTTTCCAGGTTCTGGCTATTACGAATAATGCTGCTATGAGCATAGTTGAACAAATGCCTTTGTAGTATGATTGAGCATCCTTTGGGTAATATACCCAAGAGTGGTATTGCTGGGTTCTGAGTTAGGTTGAGTCCCAATTTTCTGAGAAACCGCCATAATGATTTCCAAAGCGGTTGAACGTGTTTGCATTCCCACCAGCAATGAAGGAGTGTTCCCCTTACTCTGCATCCTCTCTAGCATAAGCTATCATTGCCATTCTGACTGGTGTAAGATTACAGTATCTCAAAGTCATTTGATTTGCATTTCCCTGATGGCTAAGGATGTTGAGCAATTTCTTAAATGTCTTTCGGCCATTTGAAATTCTTCTGTTGAGAATTCTCTGTTTAATTCTGTAAACCATATTTGGAATTTTGATGTCTAATTTCTCGAGTTCTTTATATATTTGGAGATCAGCCCTCTGTCTGATGTGGGGTTGGTGAAGATCTTTTCCCATTCTGTAGGCTCTCATTTTGTCTTCATCACTGTGTCCTGTGCTTTACAAAAGCTTCTCAGTTTCGGGAGGTTTCATTTATCGGCTGTTGCTCTCAGTATCTGTGTTACTGGTGTTATATTTAGGAAGTGGTCTCCTGCACTCATGTATTGAAGGCTACTTCCCACTTTCTCTTCTATCATGTTCAGTGTGGTCAGATTTATATTGAGGTATTTGATCCATTTGGACTTGAATTTTATGCATGGGAATAGATATGAATCTATTTTATTCTTCTACATGTTGACATCCAGTTATGCCAGCACCATTTGTAGAAGATGCTTTCATATTTCCATTGTATAATTTTAGCTTCTTTGTCAAAATCAGGTGTTCATAAGTGTGTGGATTAATATCCAGGTCTTTGATTAGATCCCATTGGTCAACCTCTCTGTTTTTATGCCAATACCAAGCTGTTTTTATTACTGTAGCTCTGTAATAGAGATTGATGTCAAGGATGGTGATGTCTCTGGAAGTTCCTTTATTATACAGAATTGTTTTGGCTATACTCAGTTTTTTTTTGTTTTTCCATATGAAGATTATTGTTCTTTCATAGTTGTGTTGGGATTTTGATGGGGATTACATTGAATTTATAGATTGCTTTTGGTAGGATTGCTATTTTTATTATATTGATCCTACCTATCCAAGAACATGGGAGAGCTTTCCATTGTCTGTCATCTTCTTCAATTTCTTTCTTCAAAGACTTAAAGTTCTTGTTGAATAGGTCTTTCACTTCTTTGGTGTTACCCCCAAAATATAATATTTTTAAAAAGATAGCTATGTCTTCTCTGTTAACCGTTCACTGGGCTAGAATGAAGCATCCCTCTTTATCTCTTCTTGCTTGTTTAAGTCTGTTTTGTCAGATATTAAGATAAAGACATCTGTTTACTTCTTGGGTCCATTTGACTGAAGTACTTTTGTCTATCTTTTTACTCTAAGGTAGTCCTGATCTTTAAAACTAAGATGTGTTTCTTGCAAGCAGCAGAAAGGTGGGTTTTGTCTCTTGATCCGCTTCAGTCTATGTCTTTTGGTTGTAGAATTGAGGCCATTGATATTTAAAGTTATTACTGAAATGTGTTAGTTGTGGTCATCATGCTGTTGGTTTTTGGTGGTGTGTTCAGTGGTACTTTGTGCTTTAGTACTTATGGCTTTGTATTTCATTCCACAATCTCTCTGCTATGCTCATTTCTCTCTTCATCCAAAAATAATGCTTTCCGTTTTTTCCTTAGGGTTGGTTTGTTGGATATAAATTTTTAGGCTGTTTATGTCATAGAAAGTTTTCTTCTTCAAATTTGTCAAATAGTTTTGCTGGGTATATTAGTCTGTGTTGATTGTCATAGTCTTTTAGAACTTGGAATGTATTGCTCCATGCTCTTCTTGCTTTCAAAGTTTTCATTTAAAAATCTGTTACTCTGATGTGTTTTGCTATGCATGTGTTTTTCTCTCTTGTAGCTTTCAATACTCTTTCTTTGTTATGTATACTTTGTGTTTTAATTATGCATGTCATTCTAGTATTCTCTATTTTGTATTCTGAGTGCTTCATGTATCTGTATGGGTGTGTGTATGTCTTTTCTTTCCTTCTTATTCCATGTCTGGCTGTGAGGCTGGCTGGATGGTCCCTTCTTTTCTCGCTCCTTCATCTCCTACCCTAGTTTTTCTCTTCCTATTTATTCTCTATGCCTGCCAGTTCTGCCTGTCCATTCTCCTGTCTTGCTATTGGCCATTCAACTCTGTATTAGACCAATCAGGTGTTTAAGACAGGCAAAGTAACACAGCTTCACAGAGTTAAACAAATTCAACATAAAAGAATGCAACACATCTTTGTATCATTAAATAAATTTTCCATAGCATAAACAAATGTAACCATAAGCAAATGTAACACATTTTAAAATAGTGTCTCACAACAAGTGTGTCTTTCTTTGGCTTGGGAAGTTTTCTTCTATGATCTTGTTGGAGATCTGGTCTATGCCATTAACTTAGAGTTCTTTTCTCTCATCTATGGCTATAATTTAAAGACTTGTCTTTCTTTCTCTCTCTCTCTCCTCTCTCTCATATTCTGGGTGTCCCACATCTCCTGTGTGCTCCTTCCTTGTGATCTTTTTCATGTTCCTTGATTATTTGGTCTAGTTCTCCACTTTTATTTTTGAAACCTGATATTCTTTCTTCTGCTTGATTCATTATACTTGTGAGGCTTTCCTTTATGTTTTCTAGTTGGGCTTTTCAATTTCATCTTCATTTCAGCTTGAGTCCTCTTTAATGTTTCTCCCTCTTCATTGAGTTCCATTTTCCAGTGCTGGATCATCTTTGTCATCTTCTCCCGTGATATCATCCGTTGTCTGTGTTTTTGTGGGTGCAGCTAACTTCCTTGAAATGGAGTTTTCCTTCTAGTACTTTCTGTAAGGCTAGGTTTGTGGATAGGTATTGTTTAAATCTGGTTTTGTCAGGCCATGATATCTCTTGACAGCAATAAAAACCCTAATTAAGGGGCTGGAGAGATGGCTCAGTGACTATAAGTACTGACTGGTTGCTCTTCCAGAGGACCTTAATTCAATTCCCAGCACCCACATGGCAGTTCACAACTGTCTGTAACTCTAGTTCCAGAGGATCTGGCATACTCACACAGACTTATATGCAGGCAAAACACCAAAGCCATAAAATTAAAAAAAAAAGAAATGCTAATTAAGACACCTACCCTAGAGCTCCCCTAAATGGAAGGCAGGTTGAAGAGCCAGATGTGGGCTCGGCTAAATCTGGTAGATTTCAGGAGCTACTTGGATGAAGACATCAGGAGTGTTCCAGCGCTAACCCCAGGAGGAGGTAGGATTTCTAGTGGGTAGGGGCTGGTATGAGATGACATAAAGAGTCCTGTGGGTGGATGCAGGTTTATCCTGGTGGAAGCCTGGATGTTGGGTACCTTGCAAGTGGAAGTGATGAAGCTGGGCTGGAGGCCCAGATGTGGGACTCTGTGGAAGGCTAGAGGTCCCCTGATACAAAGTGCTGGTGACCAGACTGTGCCAGGGCCCTGTCGGTGGGAGCTGGGTTAGAGCCTGCAGGCTGTAGAGAAACAAATGTTGGAGGGGCGGCAGTCACCAGGCTAGACCTTAGACAAGGATATGGAAACTCTGGGCGTAGAGTGGGGCGGTAGCGATTGAATGAAGGGTCCTGTAAGTCAGGGAACATTTTAAAGCTGTGTGATCTTGATCTGATTTAGGGGGTTGAAACATTGCCTACTTGAAGCTACTGGACTTCACCCAGGAACATCGTGTCCTAGATAGTATTTGTTGTTTTGTCAATTTGATACGAGCTAGAATGATCTGGAAGAGAAGGCCTCAAGTGAGAATATGCTTCCATTAGATTGGCCTGCAGGTAAGTCTGTGAGGCGTTTTCTTGACTAATTATTGGTGTGAGAAGGCAGAACATAGAGGCACCAGTCACAGAGAGGAAAAAAGAACAAAAGCTATGTCCTTAGAACAGAAAAACAGCTTCCATCAAGGGGGCTGGAAGGCTGGAGGTGAGAGTACACCTGGGCTCTGGAGAGGACTTTATTATTTAATTTTTTCATACAATATATTTTGATCATCAACCCCTCCTAGGTACTCCTTACCTCCTTACCCACCCATATTTATTTTCTTTATTTCTCTCTTTCAACAAAATGAAACACAAAAATGAAAATGAAAACAACCAACAAATCCAGTAAGACAGAAAAAAATGCCAAAACAAAACAAGTGGCTTCCAGACACAACAGGAGTGCTTGTCCTGGGCTCACAGAGACTGTGGCAGCGCATAGAAGGCCTGCACAGATTCAAGTTAGATGGGGTTCCAGAGCTAAGAAGGGGACATGGACACGAACTCCCAACCCTAACAAAGAAGCTATCTGTAACTGATACCCACTGGCCAAGGGAAAATCAATGAGACTCCAGTGGAGTATAAGCACCCTTCAGGGCAGGCCTAACACCCAGGAGTAGGTGGCCAACACGAAATGGACAAGACTTTTTATAGTTACAATGCCCAGGAACAAAGAGTGGTCTTTCTGAAAGGAACCCATCCCTTCTACCCAGATCAGCACAAATTCTGCTTTTTCTCTGCTTCAGCGTGATCCCAAAATATTCATAATACTCATTTTAATGAACATCTGCCTTGCGACAGATCTTATTCATAGGCAAATTGGTTCCAGTTCCTATTACCATCTATCCATGTGGAGGACTTCTTAATTCAGCTCCAGTGAACCCGTTTATTGCTGGAGGGAAGGAGCGCAATGGACTTTCCTTTGATACCATTTACCACGTGCATCTTTATTTATCTACCGTCTTATCCAGTGGGATAAGAGGGTCTGTTCCACAGCGGTGTGGGCTTGCCGACTTGTGAACTACTAACAATGGGAACAAAAATAGCACACATCTGTTCTTACTTTTCATTGATCGAAAAAACTGGAAGTGAATAGTTTCAAAGGATAGACTTGAGAGCTGGAACGCAGAGATGCTTTCTCTGCCTCTGTGCCGACTCTGTGACGCCCTGGGGTCAGTGACGTTACATTTGCAATGTTCTCAAGACTCGGATTTGAAGAAACATTTTCCGTTTTGTAACAGGCAGTGCTAAACGGGATGGCACAGAACACGAGATCTGAGGGCAGCAGGTGGCAATCATTAGCTGGCCTGGTAATTACAAACCTGTAAGGAGAGCCAAAGACAAATTCTGAGGTCGCCATTTGAACAGTGACACTACAAGCAATGTCCCAAAGAAAGATGAGTTTCCCCCTTTCCGTCATTGGCATGCAGTAGCTGGAGGGTTCCTACAGGTCTGTGTCCATCTCTCTACAACACACCCACTTTGGCTGGCACCCCAGCTCTCTGGGGGCAGCTGTGCGCATCATTTTAATGAGAGAAACAAGACCGTATCTGGGAGAGTTCACCTCTATTGGCTCATCTGACTCTGGGTTTATCTGCTTTCACTACACACAGACTAACACATTCAGCTAGCACAATTCTGAGCACTGAAGCAAAACTGGGATCTGAGATTGGAAAGACAGGTCAATGTGCAACACTTCCCTCATAGGTGCAAGGCCCTGGGTTCCGCCCCTAGAACAGCAAACACACAAGCAAAAGCAAGGGCAGTGCCTGACTGGGGAAAAGTTCCTTTGATCAGAGAAACCACACAGTTTGCTTGCTACAACATACAGAATTTTTTCCCATATAGATTTTTTGTCTATCTTTTTTTTAAAATTTTATTTGTTTATTATGTATACAACATTCTGCCTCCATACATGGCTAGAAGAGGGTGCCAGATCTCATTACAGATGGTTGTGAGCCACCATGTGGTTGCTGGGAATTGAACTCAGGACCTTTGGAAGAGCAGGCAATGCTCTTAACCACTAAGCAATCTCTCCAGCCCCGATTTTTGTCTATCTTAACCTAATGTGTATGTCATCAAATTTTATACAGAATTCAGCCTGACCAAAGAATAAATGCATTTAAAACCTAAATTTCTGTTCAGAATAAATCTGAAAGAACACTCATAGCCTGAGCCTCCATGAGAAGACTTTTAGGGAAGCAAGACACTTCAACAAGATGTCAAGGTCAGAGCAAAGCTCAACAAGTGTGTGTTAATACCTCAGGATTCATGACCAAAATGTAGACAAGCTGACCTTGTGTGCCTCTCATCTGCCCTTCTTCACCACTGTCCCCTAAGGTCTCCCCTTCTTAAAATATTCAGGCTTGACCTCCCTTCAGTGGATCATTTACCCATCACCGTTTCCCATGGGTCCTCTGTGGCCCTGATTGGTTCTAACTAACAGTTAGCACAATCCCACATTCCTTTTAAAGGAAAAATACCGTTTCCTTTCTTGACGATCTCTCAAATATAAGCTGTACAATCTTCCAAAAACCATATTCTACAGATTCTCCAGACCTGCGGAGGCAGGGTTTAGAGCTGAGGAAGAGTGGGGCAGGGGACATGTTTTTACATAGGAACCATTTCTACTTTCTGGAGCTGAACTCAGAGCATCGCTCCTCCCCACTGTTCTACAGGTGTGTGTTTTAAAACCACTTAGCCCTCCCTAGTAATCTATCAGACCTCCGTGTTTATCTAGGTCTTTGGCACGTGGGCACCGTTTCCTCCTAACTCTAGCTCCACCAGCACTGTCCGTGCCTACAGTGTCTGTGTGGTCTACAGCTGTGTCACCCAGGCCCATTCTCTGACACCTGCTACCCAAAGATCCCCCATCTCCAAACCGCTTTCCAGGCACATGCTGGATGCTACCACTTCCTATGTCCCACGTCAGAAATCTTCAGCTTCAGTAAATCAGTCTCCACCCACCACCTCCCACCATCCTTTCTCTCCCGCTCCCTTCCTCTGACTACATCTCCTCCCTACTTCATCAGGATTTCCAGTCCTCGTCCTTGGACTCTACAGTCTACCATCGTTCCCTGTATCCATGACAACCCTGCTTTCACACCACCCAGCAGTCAATCTGAATTTTACCTCTTCCCAACTCTGCGTCGCCCTCCCATCTCCTCTCTGCACTGGCTATGTATGCACTAAGAAATTTTCATGCTAAGAACACACACACACACACACACACACACACACACACACACAATACTCCTACCTTAGATCATTCATTTATCCCTTCTCTTGTTAATATAATGTTCTTCCTTCTCTCACTTCTTCTGCCCCTTCCTCTCTTTCTTCTCACTTGAGCCCACTATTTTGAGTAATTTTATTTGTCCTCTGCCTGGAATGGGTTTGACCAACCTATTTCTATACTCCCATTTTTTTCATTTCTCCCTGATTACCACCTGCCTTCGTGCCCATGGTGACAGTGCTGGCTCGGAACTGCATGGTTGTGCTGTTGTAGATTGCATCCTCCTTTCTTTTCCCCTCTCCCCACTGATCCAGATAGACGTTCTCTCTTTCCCACAGCTAGCAGAACGACCTTCTTTTAATAAAACTGGAGTCTGGACACAGCACACTGATGATTTAGGAATTCAAACCACAACCAGCTGCGCGGCGGTGGCGCACACCTTTAATCCCAGCACTCGGGAGGCAGAAGCAGGCGAATCTCCATGAATTTGAGGCCAGCCTGGTCTACAAGAGCTAGTTCCAAAGCAACGCAGAGAAACCCTGTCTCCAAAAACAAAACAAAACAAAACAAAACAAAAAACTTCCTACAAACCCCCATGACTAGAAGAAAGCATTCATTAAACATTCCCCAGATAATCCAGCAGGAAACCAGGGCATCTCTCCGATGTAGCAGCAGCTTCATAGATGGAGGTGAGCCATGAAAGAATTCTTATTTAAAGTCTATGTTTTAGTTTTCAGTAGGGACAGAATCTGTAGTCTCCTTACAAGGTCAATGTTCATGGGATCCTGACCACAGCTTCCTGTTGTTTAGACCCAGTCTTCCATATTCTTACACCATTATCTAGCCCCTACATCCTGCTCCTGGTCTGGAGCTCTGGACTCAGCTTTCATGAGACAAAGTGGCCTTGGTTCTCATACTTAAAAGGTATCTATCTAGTACTTTTCAAGTCAGCATACTCCCCTTTTGTGTTCCAGGTTCTTTTCCTTTTCATCCATCACACGGTATAAGCCAACACATAGGATCCCATAATTATCTAAGGAGCCACAGAACAGTTGTCCAAAGGTTTTCCTTGGCTGGGAAGAGAACAGAACAATAGGGGTTGCTAAGCACTTTAATCAAAGAGTTGTAAGAACTTGAATTTTGTCTGCCCGCTCTTTGCTGCAGGCATCTAGAGGCCCTAATAGCCATACCCCTGCTTGTGACAGCAGTGGAAAGCGGGCAGTATGCGTTGAGGTGTATGCTCAGTGCAGTGGTCTAAAGGGCATACTCCTGTGAAGGGGCCATGCTGACATCCACTGGCTTTACAAAAGATGTCTCCTTGTTCACATGTGTCTTCACCATAACACTGAACAGGTAGCTGGAGACAGTGCCAATCAAAACGAAACATAAAGCAAACCCTGAGAAGTAGCTCGCTTCTTCTGCACGCTACTCTGGTTCCTGAATGAAGAGACGCTCCTCTGGAAGCTTCCCATGGTGTTATCTTGTGATAGTCTGCCTTTACCTGCTCTCTGGTCAAGAAAGTGTCTGCATAGTCTACGAACCGGCGACATTCTTAGATCCAGACCCAGAGTTCTACTTGACTGCAGCTAGCCTGACCAGAATTCTTTAGCATTGCAGGTTTTGAGACAACAGTAAGAACCTGGACCATACTCCTTAGCTGGACCCCTGCTGTGACATGGTTGGAATTGCAGTGACCTCAGCTAAGCCTCAGTTTCTTGCTCCGCTGAGGATTTAGTTACTTAACTCATGTCACCCCTGTATGATTAAACACAAAAGACTGGAATAGACACAGAGTAGATCCTGGGCTTCCGGGAGAGCTGCGGTCGAGGGGACTGCAAATGACAACAGCCTTACTGCTGCATCGTCTCACGATAAGGTGAGGTGCAAGAGAGGCCACGTGTAACAGAGAAGGGAGGAGGCCAAGCCCATCCTTCTACTGATACCTAACTCCTGCTAGTGATATTTAGTCCATCATACCCCGTCAATCTTTTTTAAATTTATTTATTTATTTATTTATTTATTTATTATGTATACAATATTCTTTCTGTGTGTATGCCTGAAGGCCAGAAGAGGACACCAGACCTCATTACAGATGGTTGCGGACCACCATGTGGTTGCTGGGAATTGAACTCAGGACCTTTGGAAGAGCAGGCAATGCTCTTAACCGCTGAGCTATCTCTCCAACCCCCCCCCTGCCCCCTCCCGTCAATCTTTTAATGGCTCATCCTTCAACACCATTGCATTAGGGACTGAGTTTCCAAGACAGGATCCATAGGGGACACATTCAGACATCATGTCGGGCCTCTCTAATGTTGCTTGCACATTTAGCTGGAAGATTGAGAAAACAACTTTCTTCTCTACCTCTTGAGATTATTGCAAAGAATAACACAACAGTGTGCAGACACTTTAGCTGGAACACTGGATCTACTAGCTATTATTTCTGTGCCAAGTCATATATGAACTCAAGCAGCCTAGACCATTGAAACTCAGAGAGTTAATGAAGTAAGAAATGCATTATAGTAACAATAGTAGACTCACCTCAATGTCTGATAGGATGGTATGGTCTAAAGAAAGAAGCTCCAGCTTACACCGCGACCTTCTAGACGTGACTGTGGCACAATCTGCCTGGATCCCGTAGGACTTCTCCTGAACCAAACATTGTTCCATCTGAGGGCTGATACCTCCTGTCACTAGCATCTGAAGTAATTCCAGGACATGATAGTTATAGAAGGCCTGGAAAACATAGGCAAGCTATGTGTGAAATCAGAAGGGCCAGCACATGTATGGCAGAGGTGTTGGCACACGGAGAGTTAGTAGGTGTCACCATTTGAAATGGGCCTCGTGGTGCAGAACACATCTTTTCATTGTCGCTATCAAAATGGAGTGTAAGTTGGCAGTCTGGGTAGAAAGATGGTTTAGTCAAAGCAGGGAGAAAACAAGTAAGACAAATCTAGTTCCGAGGGAGCAGACACCGAAATGTGAGTCATGGGGCTGATATCCCAGAGTCCTCTCCCTCCATAAGTGACCAGAGTAGTGTGTCAAGCCACAATATCCAAAGGATCATCGATGTACATTTTTAAAATATATAATTAATGAGATAGATTTTTCCTTGAGGCTGTACTGACATTCTTATCATCTGTTCTTGAGTTTTGGGGGTGTGAATTTACTTACATTTCTGTGAATAATGACCTAGTTAAAGCCACATAGTAAGAGCACTCATAACACTTATGGCTGCCACAGGTTCTTTTCTCCAGAGTCACAGTTACAGGGTCAGAGAAACCAGTAGTTTCTACTCTTCAGTGTCTCAGTCGCTGTTCCATCGCTGTGGAGAGACACCATGACCGAGGCAACTCTTATAAAGGAAGGATTTACTTGTGGGCTTGCTTACAGTTTCAGAGGGTTAGTCCATGAGCATCAGGGTGGAGGATGTGGATACACAGGTAGACATGGTGCTGGAGAAGTTGCTGAGAGTTCTACATCCTGACAGAGAGACACTCTGGGCTTGGCAGGGGCTTTTGAAACCTCAAAGCTCACCCCACACTTCCTCCAACAGGGCTACACCTACTAATCCTTTCCAATGGTGCCATTCCCTGATGACTAAACATTCCAATATTTGGGACTATGAGGGACATTCTTATTCAACCCAGACATTTGGCACCCGGATGAAACCAAAAGAGGAAATGGGGACAAGTTCTCACACCAAAACAATCTGAGTCTAAACAATCTGAGGTGTCTCCATAACCCCTCTCCAGACTCACTGCCACAGCCTTTCTAACATCCTCTGTAGTGGGTTTTCTCAAGCCGACAGAACAAATATTTTATAAGAGTTTTATTTATTATGTGTCTTTTAGGTTGACATAACAAAGCAATGGTTTTTGTGATGGCATCCGTGTATGTATGTATCTCCACCATACATGTACACGCATGCACATGTACACACAATTATCGCACACATATGTATATAAAACTTTAGATTCTGCATGTGAAAGAAACATGATGTTTGTCTTTCTGCATTTGCCTGTGCCACTTAACATAATCATCTTTGGGGGCATACCTTCTCCTGTGAATGTCATAGCTTCATTTTTTTCTATGGCTGCAAAAAATTCTACTGTTTATGTGCCAGATTTTATTCAATATTCGTATGTTGATGAATATTTGGCTGGTTGTGTTTCACCACTGTTGTGAACAGTGAACCTATAAATATAAACGTTTAAGTACTTCTGTAGGTAGCTTGGAGCCCTTTGGATATATGCCTAGAAGTTAGTTGGATCACATAATAGTTCTACTTTTTTTAAAAACTTAAAAAAATACCAATTTGAGAAGAGGGTCAATTTTTAATAAACATTTACAACTACATATCAGTACCTTTCAATCTTTGGGTCTGGAAATTGGTGTGTGGTCTTTTTTTTTTTCAAGACAGAGTTTCCCTGTGTCGCAGTTCTGGCTGTCCCGGAACTCATTTTGCAGACCAGGCTGGCCTTGAACTCACGGAGATCTGCCTGTCTCTGCTTCCCGAGTGCTGGAATTAAAGGTGTGTGCTACCACCACCTGGCTGGTGTGTGCTGTTTTTATTGCAATTTTTTAAATAAGGAAATTCATTAATTTTTGTGTGTGTGTACATATGTGTAAAAGGTGCATGCACACATGGGTGCTGGTCCATGTTCCTGTGTGGGAATGTGAGGGCTAAAGGGAGAACTGGGTGTTTGCCTCCTGCCACTCTTGGCTTTATTCCTCTGGAGGCAAGGTGTCTCGCCACCCCTGGAACTTACATGACTTTGGCTAGGTTGGCAGCCAGCAGAACCGAGCATCTCCCCTGTCTCCATCCCCCGCAGTCTGTTATGTGGGTGCTGAAATCCAAGCCCTGGTCCCCACAGCTGCACAAGCACTTACAACCACCAAGCTGCCACCCGGCCAGAGTTTTAGGTTTTGGAAAATTCTGCACCCTGATTCCCACAGTGTGTGCAGAAATTTACTTTCCTACCAGCTATGGACAACATCCATCATTCCCTCCATCCTGGCTAGCCTTTGCTGTCCTTTGTTTTGATGGCCATTCTGCCTGGGGTGAGAGAATCTCAAAGCAATTTAATCTTCATTTCCTGGACGACTGAGGATTTTAGAATTGTTGGTGATGCTCTCATTGATTTTTTTTTCACTTTCAACATTTCTATTTGGTTTTTCTTTAAATATGTAAATTTTCTTACTAAGCTTTCATCTGGCTGACTTTTTGTCCATCTTTCTGACTCTCTTATCCAGCCCCTGGTTCTGTTGCTGATGCTACTTCCTTCCCGAGGGTCTGGGGTTGGATTCATCTGCTATTTGTTTACTCCTTCAGGTCACTGATTTTGCCCCGAACTGGAATTTTGCCTATTTGAATGTTTGAGTTCAGTAGGTGATGAATTCTGGTGTTTTAGAGGCTTCATGTTGCCTCTAAACAACCTACCCTAGAGAACTCAGCTCCAGCACTGAGCAGCAGACAGGAAACAGCTCTGTGGCAGCTGTGCCGTTAGCTCACACAAGACAGAGACACACACGGATCACTTATGGCTCGCTAGTGTATTTATTACCCACGACCACAGAATGGAAACTAGGAAAACTGATGTAGAATGTGCTATGAAGTTAAAAAGTATCTATGGCACCGGGTGGTGGTGGCACACACCTTTAATCCCAACACTTGGGAGGCAGAGGCAGGCAGATCTCAGTGAGTTTGAGGCCAACCTGGTCTACAAAGTGAGTCCCAGGACAGCCAGGTCTCCAGGATTGTTAAACAGAGAAATCTTGTCTCGGAGGAAAAAAAAAAACCAACCAACCAAACAAACAAACAAAAAAACCAAGCATCTAGGGCAAATGTAGAAATAATAACTAATAGCAATATGCAGACACTAAGAGACCACAGATGTAAGCTCAGACTACTATACCCAGCAAAACTTTCAATAACCATAGATGGATATTCAATGGCAGAACCAGATTTAATCAATACCTATCCACAAACACAGGCCTAGAAATAGAAACACGCATAATCAAAATTAGATGAATATCTAAAGCAAAAATATAAACAATTGAGAAACTACCGTAAATATGTAGGAAGGAATCATGTGAGGGATAGAAAGATGAGGTCCTTGAAAATGGGAGACTTATATGCATGGGGAGGTCAGTGAACTTGTGGCCTCTTTCTCTTCGGGTCTGTGCTGTGCTAGGTCTGTGTTGCACAAGTACCTACCGTCCCTCTCCTCTGTCTTCAGTGTTACTGGTTTCCTTCTTTGCTTATCAGCAGCCTCTGCTGGCCACACTCAGCTTTGCAGTCAGTATGTTGGGCACTTTCTCACTTCCTGACACATCTCAAACTTTATCAGCTGGGTAAGTTGAGGACACAGGAAGTGCTTTGGGAACACAGGAAGCATCCAACAACCACTGGTATTGATACAAGCAGAGGAACTGCCTCTGTACTTTCAAGGGTTCTGTCTGGAGGGATAGTACTGTATCACATACGCTCATGGAGCTTCTGAGTTCTTAAGCTTTACAGCAGTGGACAAACCCAGGACTTCAGAATTCCATCCACCTGCTGACATCATGCTGCTAACTATCAAAAGTCCAGGGCATTCTCAGTTGGAGAGATCTGTCCTCAGCCCTCACTATCCCCATATCTGACAAAACAGACATCAAATTAAAACCAATCCAAAGAAAATAAAGGACACTTTATCCCAATCAAGGGGAAAACTAATCGAGAAAGCATTGTAATACTACACCAAACTCTGTAGTACTAATTTGAAGACACAAATTAGCCCAAACTTGGTAGTAGTCAACACCCTAGTAGTAGTATATTTCAATAGCCCACATTCTTCCATAGATAAGTCTTCTAGACAATAAATAAGAAGAAATATCAAAAATAAATTATACTGTATATCAAAATTAAATTATATCATATATCAAATGGACCTAATACTTACAGAGCATTCTACCAAAACACCAAGGAATATGCAATCTGCTCAGTACTCCATGGAAATTTCTCTAAAACAGACCACAAACTGGGACACAAAACAAATCTCAATGAATACATAAAAACTTAAATAATACCTTGTATTCAGTGTGACCACAATGCAATACAACATTAATATCAATAGCAAACAAATCTCTAGTAATTACACAAACTCATAGAGATTAAACAATTCATTCAGATCAAAGACGGAACTAAGAAATTAAAAATTATTGGAAAATGAAAACAATACAGCAATACCTCTGGAACATATTAAAAAGCAATTCTAAAAATGAAATTTATAACTCTGAGTACATGTCTTAGTTAAAGAGTTTTTATTGCTGTGAAAAGACACCATGACCATGGCAACTCATAAGGAAAACATTTGAGGGAGCTCACTTACTGTTTCAGAGGTTCAGTCATGGTGGGGAACGTGGCAGCAGACAGGCAGATGTGGTATTGGAGAAACAGTTAAGAGTCCTACATCTTACAGGCAACAGGAAGTCAACTGACTCACTGAGCAGTATCCTGAGTACAGGAAACCTCAAACCCGCCCCCACAGTGACACACTTCCTCCAACAAGGCCACATCTCCTAGCATTACCACTCCTTATGAAATTATAAGGACCAATCACGTTCAAACTGCAGAGTACATTTAAAAATAAAGATGAGTGCAAATAAATCGCTTGATGATGCAACTCAAGAACTTGGAAAAACAAGAACAAAACAAACCCAAATCCAGTAGATGGGAAAAAAATAATAAA